TTAAAATAATTTAAATACAACCTGCAGATGCAGTGTGTGAATTTAATAGCTTGTATAACCACCTTTAGCAGTAATAACTTGAATTACTTGTTTGCTACTCGACTTTGACGCTTTTCATTTTCAGCCATGCTGTTGTAAATCCAGAGCTGTGTTTGGGATCATTGTCCTGTTGCATGGCCCAGTTTCATCAGTGTTAGTTATCAGACAGATGACCTCACAGATGTCTTGAATATTTTGGTTTACAGGGGAATTCATAGTAGACTCAGTCACTGAGTCAGTTCTGCAGACAAAGGAAATTCCAAGATCCTTTTTCTGCAGAACAAGCTCAAATCATCACCACTCCACTACAGTGTTTGACATTTGGTATTGGATGTTTGTGATGAACATGATGTTGTGCATTACATCTCGATTTTATTTAGTCTTCTCTTTCTAAAGGAAGTTGTTCCAAAAGTCTTGTGGTTTGTTCAAATGCAGCTTTACAAATTTAAGCTATGCTAGAAGAGGTTTTCTCCGAGCAACCCTTTCGAAAAGGTCATATTTGTTTAGTTTTTTTCTAATGGTACTCTAACATATAGCATGCTAACAGAGGCCTGTATTGTTTGAGGTGTAGCTTTTGGGTTTTTCGCAGTTTCTGTAAGCACTGCACAATCTGACCTTGTGGGGAATTTGCTTGTATATCCACTCCTGAGAAGATTGGCAGCTGTCCAAAATGTTTTCCACTTGTGAATAATCTTTATCGCCACAGAGTGATGGACAAATTGTTTGGAAATGGCTTTCCCAGATGGATGGGTAGCAACAATTGCTTCCCTGAGATCAATGCTGATGTCTTTCCTCCTTGGCATTGTGTTAACACACACCTGAATGCTCCAGCAAACTTCCAAAACTTCAGTTTTTATAGAAGTTCTAATACTGGCTGATCAGTTACGCAAGTATACTTGATTAGCAGCACCTGGTTGGTACTTAGCATCTTGATTCTTTTGGAAGCATTAAATGTGTACTTTATTTTTCTTCTTTCCTTGAGCCAAACCCTTGGAAGTGAGAGAAAAGGCACTCTCTTTTTCACCTGACTCTATATTGGCCCATTGTGCATGAGGAGCATCTCTCCTTGTGCTGTTGGGAAACTGCAGTCGGATGATTTAAATAGTTAATATCAGAGGCTACTTGATGATATATAGCAATGAGTCACTTCAGACATACTAGCTCAACAGAATGCTGACTGAAATCTCTTTGATGATTAATAGATCAAAGGGATTATCATTAAGCTGTTTGTAGGGCAGAACTGCAACAGATCTTGTTTTTTTTTCTCATATTTAGGTTTGATGAATATCATTGATTGCTGAAATACTGTTTGATTCTTTAAGAGTGATGCCTTCCTCACCCCACCCCCCACCCCTTTTTTTTTTGTCCAGGTCATACCGGGTAGCCCAAGGATAAGGAGAGAGCACGTATGAATTCATTAACCAAAGAAAACAGCTGCAAGAAAACAACCAGGGATCCATCAATAGAAAAACACCTGACAGTCTGTGTGTGCGTGAATGTGGACTGACACACTGCTTAGTAACTGTCATAGAAAAACAATAAATAAACATGGAAATCATGACTCATGCTGACAAGTTAAAAAAGTGGAACCATCATCCGGTTCATCATGGTCAACTATTTCAATAGTTGGCAAGAAAAATTCCTTTAAAAAGTTAAGTGATTATTTATCTGGGACAATAATGAATAGATGAATCCCATTTTAATCAAACCTTCAGCCATGAAGCAGGCTGGTTTCTAATGACCTTTGCATCTTGTAACTAATGCCATAGCCACGGGCAGTGTCTCACAGCTCGGATTTATTATTAAAGGTTATGAGGAATAACCCCGTATCATCTCATATTTGACAATCTCGCTCAGCCCTTTTCACTGTTCTGTGAGGATATAAAAATAAAAGTTAGCTCACTTCATCATAGCTCCCACACTCGCTTTACACTTTGAATCTTAACGAAAAAGGATGTTTAGTAAGAGTGTCTAAGCCTCTTAGTGGCTCTATGCTTGTAAGCGAGTAAAGCCCTAGATTAAACAACATCCATTGGCACATTATCTCTGTATCCATATGGCATCAAAATTATGCAAACAAGAAACTGGGAGAAGGCATGCAGATTTCATAACACATTTATTAAAAAAAACAAACACAATCCAGAGCGCAGCATAGATACACAATATACAGTAGTATGTTGTAATCACCATCAGAAGAAAATCAAGGTGACTTCAGCTGTGCAAACAGATCCAATTCATAATATTCTGTCACCTACAGTTTTCCTGTGAGCTATCACACATGTACATATATTGTGAATAATTACTTAATTATATACTGAGAATCAGGTGTGATTGTTGGCACAAAATAAACACGAGTTTACCTTAAGAGAAAAGTGCATAAAAACATAAGTAACTTCTTAAAACATACAGGTCCTTCTCAAAAAATTAGCATATTGTGATAAAGTGCATTATTTTCTGTAATGTACTGATAAACAGACTTTCATATATTTTAGATTCATTACACACAACTGAAGTAGTTCAAGCCTTTTATTGTTTTAATATTGATGATTTGAACATTCCTATCTCAGAAAATTAGCATATTTCATCCGACCAATAAAAGAAAAGTGTTTTTAATACAAAAAAAAGTCAGCAGAAATGACTGCTTCAATGCGGCGTGGCATGTAGGCAATCAGTCTGTGGCACTGCTGAGGTGTTATGGAGGCCCAGGATGCTTCGATAGCGGCCTTAAGCTCATCCAGAGTGTTGGGTCTTGTGTCTCTCAACTTTCTCTTCAAAATATCCCACAGATTCTCTACGGGGTTCAGGTCAGGAGAGTTGGCAGGCCAATTGAGCACAGTAATACCATGGTCAGTAAACCATTTACCAGTGGTTTTGGCACTGTGAGCAGGTGCCAGGTCGTGCTGAAAAATGAAATCTTCATCTCCATTAAGCTTTTCAGCAGATGGAAGCATGAAGTGCTCCAAAATCTCCTGATAGCTAGCTGCATTGACCCTGCCCTTGATAAAACACAGTGGACCAACACCAGCAGCTGACATGGCACCCCAGACCATCACTGACTGTGGGTACTTGACACTGGACTTGAGGCATTTTGGCATTTCCCTCTCCCCAGTCTTCCTCCACACTCTGGCACCTTGATTTCCGAATGACATGCAAAAGTTGCTTTCATCTGCAAAAAGTACTTTGGACCACTGAGCAACAGTCCAGTGCTGCTTCTCTGTAGCCCAGGTTAGGCGCTTCTGCCGCTGTTTTTGGTTCAAAAGTGGCTTGACCTGGGGAATGCGGCACCTGTAGCCCATTTCCTGCACACGCCTGTACACGGTGGCTCTGGATGTTTCTACTCCAGACTCAGTCCACTGCTTCCGCAGGTCCCCCAAGGTCTGGAATCGGTCCTTCTTCACAATCTTCCTCAGGGTCCGGTCACCTCTTCTCGTTGTGCAGCGTTTTCTGACACACTTTTTCCTTCCCACAGACTTCCCACTGAGGTGCCTTGATACAGCACTCTGGGAACAGCCTATTCGTTCAGAAATTTCTTTCTGTGTCTCCCTCTTGCTTGAGGGTGTCAATGATGGCCTTCTGGACAGCAGTCAGGTCGGCAATCTTACCCATGATTGCGGTTTTGAGTAATGAACAAGGCTGTGAGTTTTTAAAAGCCTCAGGAATCTTTTGCAGGTGTTTAGAGTTAATTCGTTGATTCAGATGATTTGGTTAATAGCTCGTTTAGAGAACCTTTTCATGATATGCTTATTTTTTGAGATAGGAATTTTGGGTTTTCATGAGCTGTATGCTAAAATCCTCAATATAAAAACAATGAAAGGCTTGAACTACTTCAGTCGTATGTAATGAATCTAAAATATATGAAAGTCTAATGTTTATTAGTACATTACAGAAAATAATGCACTTTATCACAATATGCTAATTTTTTTAGAAGGACCTGTAACGTAGTTTTGTATGAAGCTAAATAAAAAAACAAAACATATATACATTTTACAAACTCCCACTATCAGTGGGCCCCACCCAGAATCATATTAAAATCTTTCTCCAAACATGAGATTTCTATAGAGACACAATGCAAGTGCATTGCTGTGTACATTTGTAAATACATGGATTATGCTGTGTATCAGAAAGCAAGATTGAGTGCACAGTTTCGCAATGCTTTTAGCCTACAAAGATAAATATATTAGTAGTTAAAAAACAGATATTAGCATAACCCTTTCCATTTACATCACTGAGATAGGAGAGAGAAA